AGGAAACGTAGCTTCAACTAGGTATAAGAAATGTATAATCTGTGATATCTAATGTACAAAGTTCCTTTGAATCATAAATATTGGGTACTTAATATGCCTACCTACTGTTTATTATTATTCAAAAAAATATTGCGTAGGTACCAAACACTAAATATGAATTAAAAAAACAGTTTTTCATTGAAAAAACTGACAGAATTCCTTTAGTGGTACTTGATAATAAGTTACCGTGGCCATAGATTTCATGTTGTTATAATTTCTAAATTTAAACTTTCAAAACAATTTTACATTGTCAGATTGACATAGGCATCAATTGATTGGTAAGCTTTTGTATTTAAGTTTAAAATGTCGAGTATAATATTTTCTTTAGACTAATTTATATAAGTGAAAAAATAAAATAAATCATAATGCCACCAAAAAGAGGGAAAAAAGGTAAAAAAGGGAAGGGGCCACCCGAATCAGGATGGTGGCCAGGATTTGGGACGAAAGGTAGATAATTTCTGTCATTAAAACACTGTAGTAAATTACCATCATAAAGGTATGGTACGGTTAACTCACAAAATATAAGATAATTCGAAATTAAATTTATCGTATTTTATTTCCGAAAAGTTAATAATGTTCGCCTAAATGATTTGTGAAACATCGTCTTCATAGCTTTTCTACAATCACCTTTCAAGTTCTAAATAGATATTTAATTGTTATTATGTATAAACTATTGTTAAATATAATATACTATAACTATGTACTGGGTACCGTATATATATATTTTTATGTTCCGTCATAAATTCCGTATAGTTCAATTGGATATAGCTCAGCAATTTTTTTATAAATTTAAGCATAAATATGAAAATACCGTAAATAGTTCCTTCTCCTAGTTGTATGTCCGGTCGTGGACTAGCGATATTCTAGGTACTTATAATACAGCTATTTTAATACAAAAATACACTACACACTGAGGTCTAATCCCCTCCCCCTCTATGTGGCAGCCATTTTGTTTTCTTCTTGAGATATTCTCTACGTGTTTACAAAAATATTCATATCTCTCTAAGTTTTAGTCTTACTGAGATAAAAATAGGTCTCATTCGAAGGACAACAATATTGTCTATCGTTTCCGTTACCAAAAAATTATTCAAATACTCGTAACTTTAAAGAAAAAAAATTTACTTCAAATAAATGTCAAAAAATTATGTTAATCGGCGAATTATCGTAAATTACTGCAAAAACAACCCCGTTTACCCTTTTTATTTTTTACTAGATCGACAGATTTTGAGTTAAGCTACAATAAAACATAATTTGGCATAATTTTTTGATATTTATTTAATGTAAATTTTTTTTCTTTAAAGTTACGAGTATGTGAACAATTTTTTTGGTAACGGAAACGATAGACAATATTGTTGTCCTTCGAATGAGATAATTTTTATCTCAGTAAGACCAAAACTTTGAGAGATATGAATATTTTTGTAAACACGTAGAGAATATCTCAAGGAGAAAACAAAATGGCTGCCACATAGAAGTGGAGGGGATTAGACCTCAGTGTGTAGTGTATTTTTGTATTAAAATATTATTAAAACTACTTTTACGGATTTTATCGCGTTTATTTTTACTTTTTATTTACTTTTATTTTTAATTCACGACGTTTCGGGCGCTCGGGCGCTTTCCAGCACCCATAGTCACGGAGGACTGAGAATGATAAATATATATATATATATATATATATATACATATATATATATATATATATATATATATATATATATATATAGTAATAAACAGAATTACAGAACAGAGGAAAGTTAACTATCGATAAAAATAATCCACAATAAAGATCAGAATATTGAAATAGATACTGCTCTACGCTATCAAACATCAATAAATAACGAGCGTTATCTCTTTGTCGGTATTTAAAAAATTCGACGCTGGAGGCTATCCTGGATACTACCGCAATCACCAGGCAGGCTCGTGGAGTCTGTGTTGAAATTAATGGCTAATCGAACGATATCAACACTGTTGATAGATAAAAAACCCATTCGAATGTCCGTTGTATATTTCCATAACAATATTAAATTAAAAGAAAAACTGTCAGTATGAATTTCAAAATCACTCGCCACTTAACGAACATCAAACTGTGTTATGTAATTATATGGATTTAGCAAATGAATGAAAAACATCGAATTATACCAGTTTAAACCAAAAAAATAATAATGCGTTTCTTCTTCTGGTGGATAATGAAGCCCATGTATCCAATTTTTATCCTCAAAGGTCATTGGGCAAAAAACATTCAACTAAACAAAAGATAAAAAAACCCTTTCAGAAGTATATAGTATCCTTCCAAATAAAAATTGAACAAAAATATCTCAGTACGGATTTCAAGATCGCTTGTCACTTAACGAATTTCAAACTGCGTTATGTGTGTTCCTAATTAGACGAACTCTGTCAAAGCATGGAAAAGATCGAGTAATACCAGGTTAAACCAGAATTTTTTTTTATTCGTCTAGAGTGTAATGAAGCTGAAGGCTTCAGTCTTTGTCCTCAAGGGATATTATGCATAAATTTTGATTGTTTTCGATCATAGGTATAATCAAGGAGCACAAGTTACTGTTAAGATCATATTGACTGTTTTCTTCTTAGTTAAAATCTTTATATACCTTATAAATTATAAAGTGAAGGTTGAAATAAATGCTTGAGCCATGTGCGAAACTAAACTAAACTTTTCCTTAATATTTTATCTAAATAATCTTACACACGATGAAAGTGTAATCTATATGTTGTAATCATAATAAACTGATAATGCGAATGATCTATTAGTATATACATAGCGCTGCGAGAGCGATAGATTAGATAGATAGTAAAAGACGCTGAAATATGAACTGGTTTTCGCTCCTAGTCAATAACGTGAAGATTTATATTTCTCTGATTAATTTTGAAAATTATAAAAGGGCCCGAATTTTGACAAAAATCTCCACAGAGGATAAAATCCGAAATCCTTTCTTACATTTCTTGATTAAATATTGTTTCTAAATTACACATGACATCTACTTACCTTCAGTCGGACTGGATGGGTGTGTTAAGGAATCATAAAAAATGTTTCCTTGGGTCTACTAATATCTCGAATATTAGTTACTCGTTCAAATTAACATAATATGTATTCATAGACTTATTTATAAAGAGGGTATGAGAGATTAAATTGACATCCTTAAGTTTAAGGAAAAAATCTTCTAAATTTTAAATTACTCCGTAAATGTTAACATTAAACGCTCTAAATAAATGTAATAAACAGATCATCAAGTACCAAAACTTGAACATGCGACCCTGACTCTATGTTTAAACTTGCGCGTTATTCCATTGTTTAATGCAAAGACTCCCCAAATTCTGGCATTTGTCAAACTGGGGACTGCGAGCATTTTTTTTCCATTTTTTTTGAATTCTCGGATACATATTTCAGAGAATTTTCAGGTTCCAATAAAACAAGGCTGATGAGGCACTGATGTTTATTTTTCTCTCTCCAAGTGTCACTGGATTATTCATTATCATTCAGCTTCTGAGTGTGGTTAAAAGGGTTGAAAGAAGCTGCGATAATCTGTAATTTAAGTATTTCTTTCCTCGTGAAATGTCGCAAAATCACATCAATAAGGCTAAAAAAACGCATCTATCGCGGACAGTTAAATCAATACAACGAAATCGAAAAAATCACCATGGCCGAAACGGTTCAATCATATCTATGAATTTCATTAAATTTATATGGTGTTATTGTGCCAGTAGAACGCTTACCTACTTAACCTGTCACTTATCCGTGTTTTAGTCGGATTTTATGGCGGAAAATATCACCTAGTCAGTGATTCTAAAATGCCACAAGTATGGTACGATTAGGTGTTGGAATTTAGCTATGGATTTCGACCGTAGCTTTAAAGATACTGACCCAAAATGGTCGTGGCTTTGAATCCGCCGAACTACGGTCGTGTACTAAGAAAGAAATTCGTTTATTCCAGTTGGGGCATGCAGCACAAAACGTAATAAAGTAATCACATGCAAAAAGATAAATAAAACGAAATATTAACCAATATTATAAGTTTAAGAAAATAGATTTAAAAAACCCTGCGCCGCAGCATGAAACTGCGAAAAGTACCGGTCTCTGTGATAACACCTTCAGTGATAACACCTTTTCAGTCCGGCCCATATCCCAAGACAACTAGTAGTACAGGGATTTAATGCTCAGCTGGAGTTGTGAACATAAACAGTAGTATAGCATTTCTATCATAAATTATATGTTCATCTTATTTAAATACGTTTCTTAATCTCTGGTTAGTTATAAGTCTTTTCGAGAATGCGCGATAGGTCATGCATACTTCAAAAAGGATAATTTTATCCGAACCAAATACGAGTAACACAACTTGATTACTGACGTAGATTCCAAAACTCGTTATTAATACGTTATATCGTATTAATTATTGATAATGTGAGACACACCTCCAGTCTTGCGACACACCCGCGATTTTGTAATATAGTATAGGCATCTATTTAACAAATTCGTTATTTTGACCGATCTCATTGTGTTTTTCAAAGATAACACTCGAAAGGAATTTATCATATTAGTGAAAACATTACGAAATTCGATAAGCAGCATATTATACCGAACCACTATATACATATTGATTGCGCAGTTGCATCATGTTTTGTTTTAATCAGTGATCTGTGTCTCAACAGCCAGTATTAAGTTGGTGGTTCAAAGAGACGGCTGGTCGGTGCAGTCAACTACAATTATTTAAAAAAAAGTTAATCTTTATTAGTTTTCTTTTAAAATGTTACATTTTTTAACGCGTTCGCTTCAACTGGCCTTCAATATAGCACTTTTGGTTTAAGTTGTTAACGAGTTTATTTCAACTAAATTATTTCTCCAGATATGTAGAATTCTTTCAAAAGAATATATAAAATATTTCTAAGCGTAATAAAATAAATTTTCTCTTTCTCCAACGAATATTAATAGTTTTTATTTTGTTACAGCAACAATGTCTACCTACTTCCAATACCCAACTCCCGAGATCCAGGAGGAGCTGAAAAAGATCGCTCTGGCAATCGTCGCTCCTGGCAAGGGTATCCTCGCCGCCGATGAGTCCACCGGTGAGTCAACAACACGAACTCACTAACTTTAAATATTTATATAAAATAAATTATTCATACCATAATTTTAAATTAAGTACGTCTAGTCTGTGAGACTGCGCTGAACATCAAATAAACAAGGAATATCCTGAATATTTTCCCTGGTATCACTTTTATTTATTAAAGCGATGGTGATAACTCGGGGATAAGCACTCGTGTATATGTAATATGAAATATAAACAAATAAAACAAAACAACAATCGAAAACTGTACATTTTCTTTAAAAAAATAAATATTTATTAATTGATGATATCTTTACTACTGAAATGCTATACTAAATCTTCACACAACCAAAACATACATCGATAACTTTTACGTCTTCATAGGAACCATGGGCAAGCGACTCCAGGACATCGGAGTTGAGAACACCGAAGAGAACCGTCGCAGATATCGACAGTTGCTATTCAGCACTGACCCTGTGAGTGTGTCAAATTTTTTCTTTGTTTCAAGTTATAACTTTTTTTTATATAAAACCAAACTGAAAAAGTAAGAATAGTTGAAGATGTCATATAGTAGTAATGGTATACCAAAATAAATTTCATTTTCGAAAAGTTCGATATGAACAAGTTAAAAACAATTAAAAGACTAGCTCCGGCTGCCTTTACGTGTAATAATTTTCTTTTCTCAGGCCGTCTCAGAAAACATCTCTGGTGTGATCTTGTTCCACGAGACTTTGTACCAGAAGGCCGACGACGGTACACCCCTGGTGTCGCTACTCGAGAAACGTGGCATCATCCCCGGTATCAAGGTCGACAAGGGTGTTGTCCCACTCTTCGGCTCTGAGGACGAATGCACTACTCAGGGTAAGTCTTTCCTCCTCTTTACTACTAACCTAAGTTCCCAATCCTTTCTTTTTTATATATTTATTTTAAGCGATTAATCGTCAACGTTATCAATTTATTGTTAATCTTAGAGATAGTAATGTATTTTTTATAAAACAAGCTGAAAGTCCACGTCACGTAAACGTAACGTAACGTAAGTAAACAACTTCAAAAATGGGTAATCACCCGTGATAACTAAAATTGAAGATGCATTATTAGAAATTTAAACTTGACATAAAACTCCTAACGAGGTGGGAAGAGTTCCATTTCTAACCTCTTAAGTATTTCTCGCCGTGTAGAGGCAGTGAAAAGGAATCCGCTACTTACCTCATATCATCCCGTGGGTTTCGAGATAGGTGATAGGGGAAACCCAAACAGGAGATAGGCAATAGCAACTCCCCGACGACTATTCAAAATAAAATTAAAAATCGATTTGTCGACGCATTTCCTAAACGTGGTAACTATAATAATTTTTTCTCCTATGTGACCATTTAGTTAGACTTTAATACTACTAAATACTAGTGGTTAGTCGTATTAAAGTCTAACATAAATGTTCTGATACAAAACTGAGGTAGTAAGGTGGAAAGAGTTCCATTTCTAACCTCTTAAGTATTTCTCGCCGTGTAGAGGCAGTGAAAAGGAATCCGCTACTTACCTCATATCATCCCGTGGGTTTCGAGATAGGTGATAGGGGAAACCCAAACAGGAGATAGGCAATAGCAACTTCCCGACGACAATTCAAAATAAAATTAAAAATCGATTTGTCGACGCATTTCCTAAACGTGGTAACTATCACAATTTTTTCTCCTGTGTGACCCTTTAATACTACTAAATACTAGTGGTTAGTCGTATTAAAGTCTAACATAAGTGTTCTGATACAAAACTGAGGTAGTAAGGTGGAAAGAGTTCCATTTCTAACCTCTTAAGTATTTCTCGCCGTGTAGAGGCAGTGAAAAGGAATCCGCTACTTACCTCATATCATCCCGTGGGTTTCGAGATAGGTGATAGGGGAAACCCAAACAGGAGATAGGCAATAGCAACTTCCCGACGACAGTTCAAAATAAAATTAAAAATCGATTTGTCGACGCATTTCCTAAACGTGGTAACTATCACAATTTTTTTCTCCTATGTGACCATTTAGTTAGACTTTAATACTACTAAATACTAGTGGTTAGTCGTATTAAAGTCTAACATAAATGTTCTGATACAAAACTGAGGTAGTAAGGTGGAAAGAGTTCCATTTCTAACCTCTTAAGTATTTCTCGCCGTGTAGAGGCAGTGAAAAGGAATCCGCTACTTACCTCATATCATCCCGTGGGTTTCGAGATAGGTGATAGGGGAAACCCAAACAGGAGATAGGCAATAGCAACTCCCCCGACGACAATTCAAAATAAAATTAAAAATCGATTTGTCGACGCATTTCCTAAACGTGGTAACTATCACAATTTTTTCTCTTATGTGACCATTTTAGTTAGACTTTAATACTACTAAATACTAGTGGTTAGTCGTATTAAAGTCTAACATAAATGTTCTGATACAAAACTGAGGTAGTGTGGTTCGCCACCTCAGTTTTGCCGTGCTCATCAACACTTTTAGATCACTTATTTTACTTTTTAAGTGTAAGAGTCGTGCTGCAGCTATATTAGTAGCGTAGTTGTAGCACGAATGGATCGGCACGAATGGTCGACTGGGGAATGACCACGCTCTCACAGAATACCAGTGTAGAATAGCAGCTTAACGCTGCTGTGTTTCGCATATTGAGTTGAATTGAACCGGAGACCCTTCTTACTGGAGGCATTCCATCTTAGTCTTAGGTGACAACGCATCTGCATTTTGATTCGTAATCGAGGATAGATGTAGACTATGTCTATGGGCTAAAACAACCATTTACCATCAGGTGGACTGTGTGCTCGTTTGTCACCCTTAGCCTATAAAAAACAGTAAGTAATATCGATATTATTCAGTTATCGATACCTAAGACCATATAGATGTCGTCTTAATAATTCCGAATAGGTAGGTATATAGACGTCTCTGAATCATACAAAGAATTCTCTTGATTAGTACGGCTTAGGTATCAAAGGTGTTCGACGCCTTCACTCGCAGTTTGCAATGACAACATTTGCGTTACGAATGCATTTTCCATCACTATGACGACTTACGTAAATATCCATCTATACAATTACTCCAATCAGCTCAAAAGGTACACCTTGAGCATCTATACGAATAAATAAAATTGAAGTATTTGTTTGTGATGTCGAAATAACACCTTTTTAATAAATACAAAATAAAGTATGTACGGCCGTCACCTTTAACATAAAAGAACTAAAAAAAGATATCTTATAAAAAGTGACTTAGGCTACTTTTATTTTAGAAAAAGTGTTAAGGTCCCGCGCAAAAAGTTTAAAACCCAGAGTTTAATCGAATAAATTCCACGTGCACGCGGACGAAGTCGCGGGGAACTAACAGCTTTTTTTTAGAGAATAAGGGTGACAACGAGCACACAGTTTCCCTAATGTTAAGAGGATGCTGTGGCCCATAGACATCTACATTTATCCTCGCTTAAGAATCAAAATGCAGATGCCTTGTCACCCTTAAGGACTAAGATGGAATGGATGGAATTCCAGTAAAACGGGTCTCCGGTTCTCTACACCTACCATACGAAACATAGCAGCATTAAGCTGCTATTTGACGCTGGTATTCTGTGAGCTAATACATAAATAAAAAGTTGTTTATTTATCTCTTTAAAATATTCCATTTAAAGTTACTACTTATCAGGTGTTTGGTGTTCATTATTTACAATCAATACCGAGGGACGCGACAGTGTCGAAGATAACAGTGTCAAAGTCGAATACTGAATAAATAAGCCCCTCAAAAGAGCAGGACCTCGTCTAAACGTTATCTTGGTGTTCACAATGTCGTTTTAGTGATAGTAACCTTTATCTTTATATATTATGGAACCGTTGGTGATGCTGTTTGTGGTCGTTTATTTTCTATACGACTTGGCCGATCGAGGTCATATTAACACCGTTGATCTGTTTTGTCCAGACGATGGTGTTTCACCCCCGTGCATCGGAAATCATGTAAAACCTTGGCCGTGCACCTGATCGCTCTTAATGTCCTATAGGACTATGAGAGTGAGGGAACAGAGATACACCTGTTTTCGAGCATACACACGTGCACCGTAATCCTGTTCTGCGCACATGGCTAGTCTCCGCTAAGACTGGCCGCCCTGATCGAAATTCGGTCTATAGAATTTAATTAATGTCAGCAATTATCCCCATTAACGTAATGGACTCACTTTCTGAAATGTTATCGAGCAATATATTTTGGTGATACAAAAACGCACAGATTAAATTCCTTTTTTCCTATACATATATTAATAGGTTTCCTAAAGTTTAATATGCTAGTTTTGTTATTACAATGCGCAATAATGGAAAAACGAAAACCATCGTTAAAGTTGTTTAGTTAAAAATTAAAAATACTTAGCTTAAAGGGACGGAGTCAACGTTTTACATTTGTGCCGTTCATGTTTTAGTTAAAGTAGATCGCGTATACGTTGTGTAGCATTTGCATTGCAAATGGGAGGCTAGTTAATCACCTTTAGATTGAGGCTTTAAATAAGAGTACCTATTTTATGTTAACGTTCTCCAGCCCGGTTGCAAGTTTTTGTGGCTTTTTGTTAATCTGTGCCTTTTCTGTATTTTTATTTATTTGTTATAAGCCAGTACTTGGTGGAAACTGGTGATGTAGCCCTAGATAGTACACGCCGGCAGCTTATTCCACTCCTCTCATGGACGCATTAAAAAATAAAAAACAAACTGTTTGGTTCTAATGCGTGGAATATCGACAACAAAGGGCTGAAGAGTGAAGACCCGCCGACCGTTTGGTTGTCCGATGGTGGAAAGTTCAGGGAGGAATTAAATTTATGCGTGAAATTCCTGCGCACACTCACCGAAATGCATCCTATAGAATACTGTAAGGCTGGCTACTGCGCTTGTGCCCGTGACTGACAAGATTAGGTTTCAACCAAATCAAGGTTACCAATTAGCCTCTTAGCACGTTTCTCCACTGAGTCTAACGCAACGGTAGGTGGCATTTTGCAGCACCTGCCTAAATGTGACAACAATGTAATAATGGTGAGGCTGATTCTGATTTCCTAGAACGTCGTCGGACTACTAATAAAAAAGCAATAAATTAAAAAAGCCTTATATTTGTTGCAAAAATAGGAAAATAAATAATCTGAGCTTAATCCTATTATTATAATTAATTAATCTACGAGTACAAGAACCATTCCGCAGTTAAAGACCTACTTCAAAGAGTCCCAATTGTCTCTATCTTGGGCTTTTTACATCCAGCTTCCAATAAGCAAAGCGGTAAATAAAAAGCATTATAATTTGTTAGAAAAAAAATAAAAACATACTAATATCTTGTATATAAATAGCATATTGTAAATAAATATCTATAGAAATCATTTTCATGATTTCTTATATTTACGCGAACAATACACATGGAATGAAACTACTTTTTACGGATTTTATGGTGTTTTTTTAAATTCCCGACGTTTCGAGTATTTTACAGAACCCATAATCACGGGGAAATCAAACATCTATAACAAGTGATATTTTTTTTTAAATTTTGTATTAATTTCTTTATTATAACTCGTTTTTATCATGTTGTTTCTTGCATTGACATCCGAATTTGAGCTGTATTCAAAATTTCAAGTTTCCAACTGATTGGAAAGTTAGGTTAAAATCAATTACTAAATTCCACCCAGAACAACAAACAAACAGACAGACAGACAAACATGAAAATTAATTAAAAACACGTGTAAATTAATAAATACTTAGAAACTAGTTTCATTCAAAATAAATGTTATTATTACTTTAAAATGAGATGTCGCCGTTTACGTTAACAAGAACGATGAATCAAAAATATTTTATAGGTTTTAAGGATTTTTTTGTATCTAACTCGACTCATTCTTCACACAGGTCTGGACGACCTCGCTCAGCGTTGCGCTCAGTACAAGAAGGACGGCTGCCACTTTGCCAAGTGGCGCTGTGTGCTGAAGATCGGACGCAACACCCCGTCCTACCAGGCCATCATGGAGAACGCGAACGTGCTCGCGCGCTACGCCTCCATCTGCCAGAGTCAGCGCATCGTGCCAATCGTTGAGCCCGAAGTGCTGCCTGATGGTATGTGTTTATAAATTTGGGTATAACTATTCCCTTTAAAAAAAGATGAAATGATGTATAAAACTGTTCAAGGTTCTTTGATGAATACGATCGTCTGTCCATAACATAATAATTTTTTAATGCTATGGGTCTTCAATACTAGTAAGTACATAAGATAGTTTTTGTTGATCTTTTGCTTATGTTCCGAAAAAAAAATCCAGTATACTGGCCAATGCAAATGACATCTAAATCGGCGCCATACTGGGGATTCTTTCTAAAACATTATTATATCATATTTAAAACATTTGCGTCATATTGTCGATAGTATAATTGTAATAAATTGTATATATAAATATATATACAATTAATATAGTTAAATAATAAAATATATGACGATATCAAAATTATAATATTTAATTTTAATAAATTGCATATTTAAATTGTTTTATATGGCGGGATATCCGACACAATATGGCGGTGGCAAGCCAGTACAATATGTTGTTATTTGAATTCCCAGTATACTGGGAACATTTCGGAACACAGCCTTTACGTCCTACGACCTAACTGTGAACCGAACTTATAGCTCTATAAACAGGCTTTTCAGCTATTAGACATTATTTATATATATATTTTTTTTAATTTTAATGCTACTTAGATGAGATTGTAACCGATATCAAAAAAGAAGGTTCTCAATTCAACTACATCTTTTTTGGTATGTCATTCGATATCTTCGCTAACTGTGAACCAATTCTAATGATTCGTTTTATATTAAATAGGTTGTATTTCATGTGGTCCCATATAAATTAGTAGAAAATTCCACCATTAAGGGTGAAATAAGAGATGAAGATTTTATTCAACTATTTAGACAAGATTCTAGCCGTTATCTTGAGCTTGTGTTATTACTTATTTCATTTAAAAGGGTCAAAAATTTAGTCAGGTGTATAATTGAAAATGCCTTGGAATCTGTCAGGGTAGATTTCAATATGTTCCAATTTTGTCGCTATACAATTATAATGATTTCTCGGTTGTGTTGCATTTAAAAAGACCAGAAAACCATTGTAATTAGAGCCATAAAGTATTTCATATTACATTTTGTTAAAATACTAATTGTAATATATTAATTTTTTTGAGCTACATGATTGTACCGTTTGGTGTAAGGATAAGGTTTGGGTAACTGACGCGTCACATTTATACAGACCTATCACGCCACGCTTTGATGACCCAAACAGAGTCTAAGTGGAGTTTGATCAACGAATGAGCCTTTCTATATAGCGAGGCAATTCGTCAAAACTGTGTACTTTAATTTACTGTCAAACTACACTTTAACTTACTGTCTTTTTGTTTTGTAATATTTTTACGGACATTATTATATATGTATTTCTTATATAAATTTGTGATGTGTTCTTAACTCATCAGGTGAACACGATCTTGACCGCGCCCAGAAGGTGACCGAGGTTGTCCTCGCTGCAGTGTACAAGGCCCTGAATGATCACCACGTCTACCTTGAGGGAACCCTTCTTAAGCCAAACATGGTAAGTATAACTATGACGACATTAATTGTTAAAATCTATATTCGCGCAGATAAAGAATGGGACTACAAATAGCGTCGCCTTTATTCACATTTCGCTTGCACAATGTTTCTGTCTATACTCACACCCGCCCGTAACGACCGCAAAAAATAACGTCATTCGGGCGTTGCAAAAAACGTTTTTTGTCATTTATTGCTTCCAGCCCGAGTAAAGGAAATTAACTGTTATATTTTATACATTTATTTTGAGTATTAATAACTGTCATATTTAGTAGTCTTAATGATTACAATAGTAAATTATTTGTATGTTAAGTTACCGCCCGCCTCCCTATTACAATATTCAGTTAATAATTTATTGCAAATTCAATTAATCTAATATACTAATCATATTATTCCAATGACTACACATTTCCAAATAAACCAACATAATGTTTCAATAATTTAATTACGTCCAATTGATATATTATTAACGTATTCTTTTCGTTTTTGTACTAAACTAAAAAAAACTAAAGCCGATTATCGCCATTTCTAATCCCATTCTTTATTCGCACGGGTTATACTAACATATGTATAAGACTGTGAAAATAGGAAATAGAGTATATAATAATATAGTATAGTATAGTATACATAATTCATAATGCTGTGTTAATCCCTACTTTAATATATCCTATACTATTAAACGAGCAATTCTTGTATATCTTAATATATATATAAATTACGTGTCACGTTGTTTGTCCGCGATGGACTCCTAAGCTACTTAACCGATTTTAGCCAAATTTGCACACCGTGTGCAATTTGATCCAACTTGAGAGATAGGACAGTTTTTATGCTCATGAGTGGACCCACAATTTTTTCTTGCGAATTTAAGGATGCGATTTAATATGACATGACATGACAAAGGGTCGTCAAAAAGGGCAGAACAACGTTTGCTTAGCAAGCCAGTATTTATATATATATATATATATATATATATATATATATATATATATATATATATATATATATATATATATATATATATATATATATATATATATATATATATCGAAAACGGCTGCAACGATTTTCATAAAATTTTGTGTCCAGGGAGTTTCGGGGGCAATAAATCGATCTAGCTAGGATTTATTTTTAGAAAATGTTTTTTGTGCGTGTTTTCAGGCAATGAAAAACTGCTACAATATAAGAAGGTAAATTTTGACACTGTGCAAATGATCTTAATAGCTCAAGTGGATATCGAGCGGTCGCGAAATCGTAATGCCCTGGTTCGCTTCACTTCTTCGGTCCGATTTTTTTTCCTTTTTTTCAAGTTCCCTTCTTTTGTGAGAAAATCTATTATTTCGAGCCCTTTTTTTAGTATTTTTCAAAAATACGAAAATTTAATTTAAACTAATTGCACTCATGATTTTTTATTCAAATAACCAGTTCAGTTTTTTCTATTATGTCAATAAGATCAAAAAATATTATTCATCAGTATGTAATTTGTATCTAAATGTAATTAAAAAAAACGAGCAAAGGTCGGTCATCCGGGTACTAGTAGTGAAAGTTGGGTGTGACAGAAGCACGAGAGCAAAATAAATTCTGCAGAAATGGAGGAGTATGCTAGGACTGAATCCGATTGACAGGGTGAGAAATTGTGTGATAAAAGGTGGTATGCAAAATGATGTTGTGACCAGAATTAAGAAAGGAATACTTCAGTGGTTTGGTCATGTAGAAAGAATGAATGAGGAAAGAGTGACAAAGCAAATTTATATGGCAGATGTGAACGGCAGAGTCGGGAAGGGACGCCCTAGACGAATGTTTATCGACCAAATTAGCGCTATTTTGAAAATGGGCCACATTAGGAGTACCCTTAACCGACGAGCGTGTATGCGTAGATATATGGATGTGGAAGAGGCGAGAGAGGTGTGTCAGGATCGTGCTAAATGGAAGTCTGTAGTCTCTGCCTACCCCTCTGGGTGACAGGCATGAGTGTTTATGTATGTACTGTGAAGATGTTTAAATGATTATAACTAAATTACGTATAAAGCTAAGCAAATTTGGACGAAATTTAGACAACAGCTATGCTATGTCCCGAATTAATACAAAATGTACTTTAAACATCGTAAAAAAAGTACATGAGGGAGTTTCTGAATCCACGCTGGTGAATCAGCTAATTGTGTGATAAACATTTGATATTTACTTAGCTGAAAAGAGTTCATCACTCAATTCAACGCGGGTTTCCGTAACATAAAAATACTTTGAAATATTTACTGCGATGTTTGAATTTTATATTGAATAATCGTTTTCGTCTTTTATAATATGCACTTTAATGCTGTCCCACCTGAGGGTAAGTGGTGATGTAGTCGAAAATGTTAAGGCGCATTGATTTAGCTTAACAAAAGCCTATTCACTCTTACCCTGAAGATACCACACACATATTATAATCGAATTGAAAGACAAATGAAATGTATCCTAAAAAAACACCGAAACGCTGGCTGCTTTGCACTTGTGCTAGAGACTGGATATTTATCAAGGAGCTGGTAACTAAGTCGGTATTTCAGGTGACGGCTGGACAATCGTGCAAGAAGACCTACACTCCCATGGATATTGGCCGCGCCACCGTCACAGCTCTGCTCAGGACCGTTCCAGCGGCTGTTCCCGGTAAGAATGAATTTAAGATAGTTAAAGACGCGTTTTTTTTAAGGGTGACAAATGAACACATTCCACCTGTTGGTAAGTGGATGCTGTGGCCCATAGACATCTACATTTATCCTCGATTAAGAATCACAACGCAGATGCGTTGTCACCCCTCAGGACTAAGATGAATGCCTCGTTTCCAGTAAAAAAGTGTCTCCGGATCTCTACACTCACCAAACGAAATACAGCAGTGCTATTTTACACTGGTATTCTGCGAGAGCGTGGTCCTCTCCCGGTCGAGTCGACCCATTCATGCTACAGCCACAATGTAACTGCACATACATATAAAAAAATTCAATATTTCGTTTTTCTTTCAAAAAAATTTCCAAGTGTTTCGGATTAAATATAGCGTAAATCACTCCTGGCTTTGATCTTTATCTGTTTGTAAAGTTTCATTACAATCGGTTTAACCATTAGGAACATCGATATATATGCACTAGATATGGCATTCCGTACACTCCCTATGTTCAACTGAACTGTACTGCAATCCGTACACCTGTTATTGTGGCTTCGATATTCATGCAGTGCGGAGCGGCGCAAATAATAATTTTAATTAAATCAGCACATATGCAAAATAAACAGAAATTAAAAAAATGTGCCCGATTAACAATACAACCTAAATAAACAATTATTTATTATGACAATTTTCGCGCGTTTATATCAACTGCGCATGTTCGGATACAGAGTAGTGCACAATTTTTGTTTGGAATAGCTTCTGTAGTACGTATTACATATAACACAATGATTAGGAAGAGATAAGTCCTGACAGACGTACAGATAGACAAAAATTAAAAAAAAATGTTATTCATACTTTATTTTGATATCACAGACACTTCAATTATATATACTGAAATACTGAATGACCTTTTATACCGTCTGGAAAAAATAGGGTGTAACATGTAAACGAAGTAGAAGCCTGTGGCACTGATATTTTACAAGAATTAAAAACAAAAATTTTGAATTAAATAAATAAAATAATTAAAATTATTGATTTTCACATCATATCAATTATCCACCATTCTTTACGAACGGCAATTGAACAATATATTTAGTAGGAATCTTTGACCTTGTCACTTCGCAGGGCACAAGCTCAAGCGCATAGCGCAAAGTAATTTTATATATTGTACAAAAAAAAATCAAACTTTTAATCCTAAACTTTTGTTTTTATTTTTTGTTAAATATCAGTGCCATACGCTTCTACACCGCTCACATGTTACACCCTATTTTTTTCCAGACGGTAAAAAAGGTCATTCAGTATATTATATAAGTTGTCGTTAGTACAGTATGTTACAAAAGTAGTCCGTAAATGCAGAGGCATTTGATCTCATTCACATTATCATACCTGACATCGAAAAAAATATTATGTAGTGGCCCTGTAAGAGAATCTACAATCGTCCCATGAGAGGCGACAGTGATAACAGCTTAAAATTATAAAACCGTTGCGATTGTCGTCTGCAATGCGCAGCGACTAAGTCAGCAGCAAGTAAGGAATAGTAAACAAAAGTAAAGCAGTTCAGTAGCGTACTTTTAGCCGTAATTAATTAAAAAAAGAAAATTCTTATTTCGCTTATTTGAAAACAGCCAAAGAAATGGAGATAAGAATGTATCTCGTTGTTTTCAGGAGTCACATTCCTCTCTGGTGGCCAGTCCGAGGAAGAGGCTTCGGTGAACCTGAACGCCATCAACACAGTGGACCTCAAGAGGCCGTGGGCGCTCACCTTCAGCTATGGACGTGCTTTACAGGCTTCAGTTCTGCGCGCCTGGGGTGGAAAGCCTGAGAACGTGCCCGCTGGACAACAAGAACTGTTGAAGAGGGCTAAGGTAAGCTGAGCTCGTCTCAAAGTAACCTGCATTGAACTTAGACCCGGGAATTCGTACATCAACACTGCTGCAAAGCAGAGTAAGTATAATCAGATATTACGTGCGCAGGGAATAAAAGAAAAGGACAGCAGAATAAAAGGGTAAATAAAAATAGGTTTTAAAACTTCACTCCCTAAAAAGCGATTTTCAAGACATTGTCGAGGCAAGCCGCCATTTTAAGATAGAAAATAAAAAGAGAAAAAGAAAATAAAGAACGTGGTCCCTAGATAAAATTTTATAGATAAAAAATTACAACACAGGATAAGGATAATAAAAAAAATTCATCTCAAAAGTTGTCTTTTTATTTGTTTTATTGCACACCTTGCGCAAGATATTTGGAAATTAGTATGAAATGCGATGTAAAATCAGTTTGAGAGTTTCTAGGGTATGTTCCAAATTAGAACCCAGTGTACTGTCCAATGCAAATGACGTCATGAATCGACGCTATACTGGTGATTCGTTCTAAAACATAGGACAGTATATGACGTCATACATTTACGCCATATTGGAAAAGTGTTGGCGATTATTTTGTCATTTTGTGCTCCAAAAATCGTTATATCTTCCTAATGAAGATACCAGCAATTGTTCTATAATTTTTTGTATTTGAGTAGGTAAATAAAAACAAATTCTGGCATGCTTCATTCAGCGCACACACAATTAAAAATTGTTTTATTGTGGCCGTATATCCGACGCAATATGGCGGCGGCACGCCAGTACAATATAGTGTCAATTGATGCCGTCATTTGCATTTGCCAGTGTACTGGGTTGTATTTCGGAACATACCCCTATTCTCATAGTATGCTCATTGTATATACGAATGGTATAACTTTATTAGATCTGGAGAACTAAAAACCTGATACCAAAAGTTCTTACAGTGTTAAAAAATATGCTGGCTACATTTATTCAACTTTAATATTAGATTTTTTTATGAGATTTTATGATTTCAAAAAAAAAATAACTGGAATATGTTTGGAATTTATATACAATTAATAAATAACATAAGATTTATAAATATGAAGTAATTCATATTTATTTTAAATCAGATTTATAATTTTTTAGAATAAAACTTTTCTTATGCAATATTTGTCCTAAAGAAAAATACTATTTCGGTTTCGCAAAAACTATCTCGATTTTTTCGACAGTATCTAAGGTAAGTCTTTTGCAATAGATCTCGTCTCCAAATGTCACTGTCATCTTCCAGGTACAGTAATTAATAATTATTATGTATTTTGACTGCAGATTACTATCGCATATTATTTTGTTGTACACCTTACTGTCCTGCATGCATTTATATTTGATTAATAAATTGTTTAGTGCATGTAGAATTGTAGATTAACTAGCTAGAAGCTTTTTGTATTTTGCCTTTCACTTCTTACTGATATTTAACATTCGAAATAGGTATGATATTTTCAATTACGAAAACAATAGACGGTCGGCGAGTTTCCATCAGTTCCATCCAGTTGTTGATATACCACGCATTTAAACTAAACGATTCTATTGTTTTATAATGCGGCTGTCTTTCCACTCGAGTACAATCTGGTAGTTTTTATACCAATAGTATGATTTTTTACTCTCAGATAGTGCGTTTTTACAATGTAGGGTTCTAGAGCCTTCATCACCGCCAAGCTGACCGCAAACACTAGCTTATATTAACCGAAAATTATGACAATTACTGGTGTTGATTACCATACAATTTATTTACCAAGTTTTCTTTGACACCCTATAAAAATGGGTGCGTTTGGCAGAAAAAAGCGCTAGGAAGCGCTTGTAAGCAAAATGGCGATCGTAAGCGGTAAACGCTGTCAAATCGTAAGTAGTTTTATATTTTCTATTCAGCATTGTGTGTACTGAGTAGTATCGTGTCCTGGCCGAAAACTATTTCAGCGCTTGTAAGCGCTTGCTAGCGCTTTTTTCTGCCAAACGCACCCAATAATTTCCGTTTCAAGTAAAAATAAACGTGAATATAGCCATAGTATACATACAGTACTAATCATGACCGCTACTAGGTTTCCGGTAGATGAGTATTGATATTTGTTTTAGGAATTGAAGTGGAAATATCATACCTATAAAATACTATATCCTAAGCATTACATAATAATACTATCGTAGATTTAACAAATGAAAAGCAATTCTATTTCGAACAAAGAGTTTTTACCAAGTGCCAATACACGGTTTCTTTTGGAACGAATCACAGGCGAACGGGCTTGCGGCCAGCGGAAAATACGTCGCAGGATCGATTCCATCCCTCGCCGCATCGAAATCTAATTTTGTAAAGTCACACGCGTACTAAGTTTACTTCACTGTGTTCCAAGCTTCAACCACTGTTGAAATATTTAAGCTATTTTTATATTATGTTATGAGACTTGTGTTAATCGTGTATGAAACTTGATTAGTTCCCTTCTGCAAAATGTCATCGATTTTCACACTTTCTTTCATGGTTTTCAAACCCTTGCATTTAAATTTTTAATTACCTCTTTAATAGAATTAAATATTTGTAAAATTGTTTACTTTAAGTTGTTACAAATTTCAATAATTGAATGCCCTAAATAAAGCTATCTTTTGCCGTATAGGCCTATATCAATGCAATTCATACATGAGCTTATAATTATGCTTACAATATTTTACTAGCAGCTTAATTTCTAGTAAATCATTACTTTATGCTTTATAATTGTCTAAAATATTTATTTGGGCATTGATTTAAACTTAATTTTTTGGGCATTGCTATTTCGACAAAAAATAAAACTATTATATACGAAATAAAAATGGATAGAGATGGACTAGCAGAGAATGCTTCAGGTACAGATGCTGTAATACATATGTGTTTATGAAATTTAAATATAAAATAAATTACATGAATAAATAAAATTTTCATTAAAATACCAATTACAAGGTAAGTGCGTAGTACCGCTAAAAGTAGAATGCTAAATAGAACCTAACTTTCCGCTTAATTTAATGAAAATATTTGTAAGAGTACCTTCATTGACTGTGGAGTGTAGACATTACATTAAAGTTACGTGATGTGAAATCACTGCCGAGCTGTTCACTTCTGATATATTAAGAATTTCATAATTCATAAGCTTTAAAATCGCGAAACATTTAATTATTTTAAAACTCATCTGTCCACTTTTGTTGTAAGTTCAGTCTGAATCATCAGTCAACATTTGTGGTATATGAAGGTAGTCTCTAATTTATTGTTCTTTAATTAGTTGTTTTTGTTGCCACTAATTCTATGTAAACTATTTCTGTGCTAACATTTATATGTTTTTTAATAAAATGTTGATATACTTGTGTTTTCTTTTGCTGTCAGTATTGCATTGCTTTTACATTAGTAGAATTATAGTTCTTTAGATTAAAATGGCACATATTTTGAGTGTATTCCTTACAGAAACGCCAGAATATGCGTTGCTGCTATAAAGTCCCGACTTTGATATTCCCGAATTATCCTTGATTTTTTTCCGTGCAGGTATCCGGGAAAGACACGTCAAATTACGATTAAAATTCGGTCGTGCTAAGGAGATTGAACTCAGGTTGCTGTACCTACCACGAAATATAAGATTGACTTTCTTAATATTCTCGGGATTTAATAACATTCTCAAAAGGAATATAAGATTTGAGAATGTTGTTTTCTCTCCCAGAAATGAGATGTATGACATATTTATAGATTATAATTCATTAACAACTTAAAATAGGTGCCATTTTGTATTCAAAGCTAGTTTCAGTGTTGATTAAGCAAATAAGTCCAGTATGATTAGTGTCGAGTGATACCCTATAAAAGGTAAGTATTGAGCGCTTTGGAGCGATTTAATAATAAACAGTTGTTATATCACAACATAATATCTAAGGTGAGTTCAGAAAATACATGATCCTTAATATTTTCTTCTGAATACTAATGAAGAAATGTTCTCGCGTGGCAGCCTCTTACCGGTACGCGATGTGTAGGGTGGTCCCCACTAGATGGAGTGACGACATGGTAAGATATCCAGGAAGTCGATGAATGCAGGTGACTCACGTGCTTTGTGGCATTCCTTAGGGAGGGCTACGTTCAGTGATGGACTTATGAAGGTCCGTAATGTAGATGATGACTAAATAAATACTACTTAAATAAATCAGATACTTATGCCATGTATAAGATCAAAAAACTTTTCCTAGTATTACCTCCTGATCTTATTCCTCTTAGCATATGCAACCCGTCAGAAATATGCATGGCTCTGTCACATGACGTTATGCAAATAAAGTCTGAAACTGTGAAAGGAACAGGTGAAAATAGGGGCAAGTTGCGGTGCAGCGCGGGGTAATCCGCATCCCAACGAAGTCCGTGTATATTTGCGACGGGTTGTACATTTAAAAATACATTTAGGTGATCATATTAACATATTTTTGTAAAATTCAGGTCAGAAATTATTTAGGCGATTTTCTCCAAAACTATTAAGTTTGTTAACAGTATAATATTAAGAACAATTTATATTTAATAGTAGTTTAATATTTGGTCTGACTTTTAGTGAATGTCCTATAACTAAGGAAATGTAGCACTCAATTCATGACAAAAACTATACACTAATACTTAACATCTGAACCGGTGACAAGAAGCAGTGGCTTAAATAGATGATGAGAAATCCTTTCACACCAATTGTGATAAAATTAAAAATTTAAAGATAAAGAATTAATACGGTAGGACAATTTTTAAAATTTAAAAGTAATTAAATAGCTTCGACAGATTGCATCTATCTCTTTTACGCCAAACGTAAAACCCAGACCTGACGGCAAACAGCAACAAAGGTGCGAGAGGTTGATACTGCGTTTTCCTATCCAATATGTGTTGGAAAGAGATCCTATCAGATCGCGCCAACTTATAGGAAATACCAATTTACACTAATTTCGCAACAATTACGACAAAAATAGTAACAATTTCCTCATTTCTCCTTTAACTACGCTTAAGTCTGAACAAATTAAAAACGCATAAT